TTTTAACGGGAAACCAATAATTATGCCATTAGATGCTCGATCGATATTCTATTGAACGCTCAATTTTAGCGCCATCGCTGCGTTATTATTTTTTTTTTGTATAAAAGTAGAGGCAAAGAAAACTGCTCGTGTAGTTCGCTGCTACTATAATTATTTTGATGCGTTTAGATTTGCCCCTGTCACAATATTATCAAGCATAAATAGTAAATTTTTAAACTTATATTTTACATTGCCTTAAGATTACTTTGGTATCTACAATTAGTCAACTATCATTCTTTTGAATATAGAGAAAGTTTAAAAAAACATCTCATTTTGATAATATTTTTTAAAAAGCCCAATTCTTCTTAACATTTTATTATTACCTAATTTAAAAATTGCAACAATTTATCCGATTATTGCGTTCGCTTGCGTGCAAATACTTAATAATACCACAGATAACATAATATTACATACAGATACCCCATCCCATACAAGAAAATGGTTCCTTCCTAACTCGGGCTATTCTTCGGGCTATTTTATTTCGCCACCGTAGCCGCTAGATGTCGCTAGATCTGAAGCAGTTCGGATTACTAGTGGGTGCTTAGTAACAAAGCATGAAAATAGATGGCAGTGAATTCAGTCTACATGACATCTGTTTTGCAAAGATATGTATATAATAGATATGTAGGTAACTGTATCGTGTACCTCATTAGGGACGATTCAAGATTCAATGTAAATGTGTAGGTATAATATCGTTAGCCGACACTCTGCAGATATGGCTTATGTGCCAATGTATATACCTATTGTGTTATGGTTTATTTTACATTCCATGCCTATTTTTTTTGATATGTTGTAACGCGTCTGCGCTATACGTATAGCCTGATTTTGATACGTTTATACTCGTACGTATCAAAATCGGGCTATACGATTTTTTATTTCAATCGTTATATGTATGAGACTGATTTTAGCTACAATTAATTTACTGGTATATACCTCATGTATTCTACGATGTACCCCTCTTTTACCTAATGAGAATTCCGCTATATCTTATATATAAATTTTGTATCACAGTGTTAGTTGCCATATTTCTCCCACATTTTGATGAAATTTGATATGTATACTTCCCAGGTCTGAGGTAGGGTTGTTATCTATTTTTTATACCCCTAAGTCATAGGGGTGGCCTACCCCTAGAAAATTTTTTTTTGTATTATGGACAATTTTTTATTTATTTATAATGTTACATTGAAAATACATACACGCCTAAATTTTCACCCGTCTTTCACCAACCCCTATTTTTAATAGCGATATTCTTACAAATATTATAAATGCTAAAGTAACTCAGTCTGTCTGTTTGTCTCGCTTTCACGCCAAAACTACTGAACTGATTTAATTGAAATTTGGTAGACAGATAATGTAGACCCTGAGAAAGGCTACTTTTTAATGCGAAAAAGTATTGAAAGGGGAAATGAAAGGCTATATGAGGATATCGTAATTTTTAAAGTCAGATCTTGTAAGATTAAGTGAACAGGGTCGGTCTAGGTTTTTCATTATTAGAAATGTGTAACGGGGTAATACGTTATTTAGTGCGAAATTGTGTATATTACAATAAAATTTAACGAGAAAATATTATAATGATATCACTGGGACACTCATTGCCTTACTACTATATCGTCCGTTAGTCGCGAACTTTCTGGAAACACGAGAGGCGCTATCCTATTGGTCGGTCGGCGCGGTTACCGCGCGTAGATGAGTAGATGAAGTACTTAGACGAGTCTCACGGCGCCGCAGCGTAAGTACTTACTATACATACGTAGTATACATATGGGTATTACAAATGTTTTTATTACTAGTAATATTACTCTGTTATCTAAGCAAGTAATGTGTGCTTATTTTGAACTTGATAACATTCTGAATTACTCGTATATCTTTCAATATCTTTAGCGGTATAAACCAGGTTATGTACTACTACTAGTATTGTTAGTGAGGGATAAAGTTGATGAACAAAAATAAAACAATATTCGTATTAAAAATATATTCATCTAATATTTTTGGCATTATTTTTAAGTTTCTTCCAAATATAAGGGGTCTGACATGGGGTGTTATGTACCTACATTAAAAAATACTTTTTGAAATGTATGAAAGAAACGTATTGTATGAGATTTTTGAAATGTGTGAAATGTATGCACCTACATTAAAAGATAATTTTTGAAATGTATGAAAGAAATGTATTGTATGAAATTTTTGAAATGTATGAAATGTAAGGACCTACATTAAAAGATAATTTTTGACATGTATGAAACGTATGAAAGAAATGTATGTACCTACATAAAAAGTTCATTTTTGAAATGTATGAAATGTATGAAAGAAATGTATGTACCTACATTAAAATATAATTTTTGAAATGTATGAGATGTATGAAAACAATGTATGTACCTACATAAAAAGTTCATTTTTGAAATGTATGAAATGTATGAAAGAAATGTATGTACCTACATTAAAAGATAATTTTTGACATGTATGAAATGTATGAAAGAAATGTATGTACCTACATTAAAATATAATTTTTGAAATGTATGAAAGTAATGTATGTACCTACATTAAAATATAATTTTTGAAATGTATGAGATGTATGAAAGAAATGTATGTACATTAAAATATAATTTTTGAAATGTATGAGATGTATGAAAACAATGTATGTACCTACATAAAAAGTTCATTTTTGAAATGTATGAAATGTATGAAATAAATGTATGTACCTACATTAAAAGATATTTTTGACATGTATGAAATGTATGAAAGAAATGTATGTACCTACATTAAAAGATAATTTTTGACATGTATGAAATGTATGAAAGAAATGTTTGTACCTACATTAAAATATAATTTTTGAAATGTATGCACCGTACAATAACAATACACGTTAAACATCATACCACAGAGTCATACGCAAGTTAAAAACAAACTGCTATGATATTAATGAGAAAGGAAAATAAACTTTATGGTATTCGTGTTAGGGTCGATTTCTCTCTTTTTTTTAAAACTATTTTAATCTTACCAGTTGCCAGTATTCGAAGACAGCTACGATTCGTACTCGATATTTTAAATTATTATGTAATCGATTTTTCAGTACAAATGTAAATAACCAACGACACTAATAATGTACTACTATATTCCGTTCTTTGAAACGGAATACTGCTATACTTAATACAAAATAATGAAAATTTACTGTTCACAACGACTCATTAAAAGCATCATCGAATAATGCGCTGTAATAAAATCCTGTTATCGATTATTAAAAAAAATCGATAATACATGTATTTATTTTTAATATGACAACACTTCATACATAAGTATTATTGGAAATAGTATTATTTGCTTGTTCGGCTATTTTTAATTTACTTAAACTTTTTTTATATGTTTAATTTACAATAATAATATATTAAGTGCTTATTATTGGAAAATATAAAAAAGACATTTAATTAGGCCGATACAAATGACAACAATGCCATCTATGAAAGCATTTTGAAAACATTGAGCCCCGTATTAGCACTGATTAAAGTGTAATTAAGTACTGGAAAATAACAAAATGAGTAAATATATGAAAATTACTTTTCTAAACGCATTATTTCATTTTAACATGTATATATATTTTTTTAAAAATGGATTAAACTATTTTGAAAACACAGTTTTGTTTTTTAAAACGTTTGCAAAACTATGAAGAATTCCATCGATACCAATCACGCCATCTATATGCAACTTTTAGCAATAATAATGGCTATTTCCTCATTGAGTGCCACTGATAATACGTAATAATTTTGTAAATGAACTTGAGTATGTAAGAGTAAATTTTTGAGTAATGTTTTACATATTATTTACATTTACGTTTTAACTACGATGGTATTTCCATCTGTCACCATCACCATTCCATCTTATCCCTTCATCATTGCAGCCCGGAAGACATGTCCGGCCGGACATGCCCGGAAGACTGCTGGACATAGGCCTCCCTCAAAGATCTCCATCTTATCCCTTATAGGTATGAAAATGGTTTAATTGTTTTTAAGCCTGGTCGCTATTTCATTGTAATAAACAACGTGTATGTATAGAGTAAGAATTAAACTTTTGACTAATATTTTACATATTATTTACCTTTACGTTTCAACCGCAATGTTTGCCATTCCAGTGTAAAAAAATAATAAAAAATGTATACTCTAAGCAAACATCGAAGATATTAAAGAATCCGATGTCGTTACTAACGTTTTCGCCCTATATACACGTTTAATTTGATTCAGTTAGATAAGAACTGTGTGATGTTTGTCCGAAACACATGATGAACATAAATATGAACCGAAATTATTAGTGTAGGAATTTTTTATTGCCACTATGTTTACTCCACTCGATATTAACGGCGAAATGAAAGTTCGTGTGAATGGCCAGGTGTCTTGTTTGATAGCCCGTTTAGTTCCCCGGCTTTGCTCATTAGTCGGTGCTGAAGTGGCTATATAGTAGCTACTATCAGGACCTCGCGGGGTATCTGATAATCTTGGTTGCATTAACTATGATTTAGTTTTAGACCGACTTCGAAAACAATGTTCTCAATTTGGTTATATTATTTTCTTGATATTTTCAACAATCGAGAATTGACTGATTATTATTTTTTAATAAAAAGATTGTGAGATTGTGTGATGATTTTTTAAGTAAGTACATCAAAAACTTTTACTGATACTACCTTACCTTCAAAATACCTTGAGTACAAGGTATTATTATTAAGGTAAGGTTATGTCATGTAGGTAAGGTCATATCGGAGATACACGTCCATAATATATATTAGTATTTCAGAGATTATGATATAAATATGATTGGCTGAAGACATATAACTACACAAACAGTCGTTATTTACATTTACGACACATTTTACTTTTAAAAACACCTTATCCTATTTATCAGGCTAAGGTACACAAAGCAATTTTTTTCTCTGGCTGTTATAAGTAGATTTATCTTACAATATTCTCATTTCGTTTCAGCAAGTAGCAACCCCAACGGTCGTGAAGAAGATACTCCGGCTGAAGCAGGAGAACCCTGGTATGTTCGCGTGGGAGATCAGGGAGAGGCTGCTCAGCGCGAGAGTATGCGAGCCACACTCCATACCTTCGGTGTCCTCTGTCAATAGGATCCTGAGAAACAGTGGGTTGGCATGGAGCGACGAAGAGCCTAGATCCGGGCATGGTAAGTTGACCTACATTACCTAAGGATTCAATTCTTCTTATTGTAAACCTGTTGCATAACTCTAGATTCAAAACTATAGCGAAGTTTTTTAATTCTAAAATAAGATTACAGTTATAAAGTTACAATTACCTAAAACACTTATTTGTAGGTATTTTTTTAAATATAGATATCACAAAAACCAAGCTATTAAAGTACCACTACTGGCCATGTAAGATATATTATCCTTCTATTATCACGGAGCCAAACGGCTTGGCATAGGGTTTTTTGATTACATTTTTCTATAGGTATATTTCGGCAGATAGATTATATATTTTTTTAGTTAGAACATGGTGTCTTTCTAAGATATGTACATTTTTAGATTAGATGACTAAATTGTTCCTAAAAAACCTTGTCAGATTGATAACTGTCACAATCACGTTGTGAGTAGAGCCTTCCGGTTCCTACAAAACTCCAAACAAACAATAGTTACATGTAGATATTATATTAAAAATATAACTAAATCTGAAGATAAACAAAGTCATTGTTTTAGCATTAAAACTAACGAGCTCTTTGTTATGTTGTAAACAGTAGGTAGATATAATTAAACATGTAAAAATTCAATTAATTTGTTCATATTCTTTTACATTTTAATAGCTCAGGTAAACATGATACAGCTATGAATAAAAATCTGAGAACATAAATTAACAGAATTCAATTTGACGCAAATACCATCATAACAAACGGATGTTCGGACGGACGGACGTAAATTCTTATGAACTAGACAGGTGTGAGGAAGCGCCCCGTAGGCAATAATGTGATGTTTTATATAATTAATTAATGTTAAATTAAGTTGAGTTATGTCGGCGACATTTTGTTGCTGCTTTATCTGCTCGATTTTTCAGAAATGTTCGCATGTTTCTATATTAAAAGGTAGACCGCGTGGGTACCTCTGTCTCTGTTATATATGTATACTGTACTGACTAATCAGAAATGTATTTTTTATTCTAAATTTATAGTTGTTTTATTGTACCATTTTTTTATATATATTTCAATGTCTTGACAATTGTTGCTAATATATATCTCCGTCCGAAGGGGGAAATAAGGCAATGAAATTACATAATAGATGATGATGATGATGATAGATAGTCTTTTCCTTTAAAATGAATATACATTTTGAAGGATTTGTCCGCAATTAAAATAAAATAATTCCTATGTGTACACATATATTCAATTTTGGTTCAATATTCAAAGATGGCACCTACTGTTATAGAACTTAATAAATGTTAATTACTCTGTTGTTAAATTTTACAATAAGTAAATGTTAAGTTTTAGGATACGAAGAATTAACACTACTATTTTCTTTTTTTTTAGACTCTTATCCACCAGCCGAGTTACCACCGAACGTAATGGACTATATGTCTTTAAAGAATTCGTTGCCTCATGTTCCACCACCATCACAAACTCCTTCGTACTTTGCTCACTCAGCAGTACGAGTACCACAACCTCAAGATCCTTCCCTATACGATAGGCGACTAACCACATCCTGGCTTCTAGCCAATCAAGTACAAGCGCAAGGACTTTTAAAACCATACCCGATATCCCCCTGGCAGAGAATTATGATGCCCTACCATGATTCTAAGAATTTCTCGCCATACGCTGTAAACCTCCACAATGACCTCCTAAGCAAAATAAACTCGGATGAAGTGAAATCGGAGAATTCCGAACATATCTCCGTAGAAGCAAGCGACGATAGTACAGACAGACCAGATACAGATGAACGAAAAACACCACATGAGAAGGAAAAGAAGAAAAATCCTTATTCAATAGAGGAATTGCTCAAGAAGCCTGAAAAAATTCGTTCTAGTCCTGTTGGATTCCAAAGTTTTCTACGTCAACCCAGTGGCAGTATGATTGAATATCAAAGCCCAGAAAAAGATACAAGCAACAGAAGTTCACCCGCCAGTTTTTGCTCGGTACAGAGCAGTGTATCTAACGATTGCTTTACAGAATCTATTGCATCGGAAATAAAGGCGGGAAACTGAACTCATTCGTTCTAAAACTCTATCTGAATCTGTGCAATAAAACAATAAAATGACTAAGTAACAAAAAATTACTGCTTTCTACATATACATAGTATCTACCTATTTTATCATCGGATCGAAGTGTGCGATATTTTTAAAATACTTAAGCAATTTGTTGTTGAATTAGAACTGCTCTACGTAACTCTCCGTTTCCAATAATATGTGTAGGTACCTAAATAAAGTTACATACTCTATTTATCAAGACAAATTATCTCTTCATACATGTATTAAAATATACATATATAGCATAATATATATTGTAATGTTTAATGGAAACACGGTGTAATATACGATTTCATTATTAAATGCCATATTATTAAAAGGATTTTTGTGACCATACTAGATCATAGTTATTATTATAAATTACAAAGTTACATACATTCCAGTTACATATTTAGTGATGTGGTGTATTTTTAATAAATTATTATAAACTTAGTTACTTACCTTTATTTAAATATATTTTGATATGAACATTGTAAATAATATCACTTGCATAGATAGTTTTCTCATAGATTAATAGTAGGTATGTATAGTATTTCTGTTAGCTAAATTTAAAGATTCTGTGATATTTTACTAAGTACTTACCTTAATAAATATAATTTTAACTGTATATAAATAAATAAATTAGATAATAAACGTTCCTTAATGTCCAAACATCTATTAATTTATATTAGCGCTGCTGTTATATTTGTAATGTATTTTTGTTTCCATATAAACATGATCTCGTTTCCACAAGTGAAGGTTAGTATCTCAAAGCCAAGATAACTGTTTAAAACATACTTTTCTTGTACGATGCAGATTTACGAGACCCAAAAACTCGATCATTTAAAAAAATCTAATGGTATGGTAATAAAAACAATGAATTAATATCTGTTAGATTTATGCGACGTAATCATGTCTTTATATGGAGCCGAGTTCATGTTTATACTTAATAATAATTACTTACATAAACATAAAGTGTAGTAGTAACACAATTAGTTCTTTATTTAAAAAAATCACGTAATTAAATAAAATTATTACTAAATCTATTTGTGCACTCTTTTAAATATCTACCCTGTTGCCTCCCTGTTATTCTAGGTATATGAAAATGTTTAATAAGCGATTAACATTAAAAGGATATTTCGTCATAAGAACATGGACTATTAGCTGCCTAACATAGAGAAAAGTTATAAGTTGACTAAGAACCCTATTGTTAGCAATGTACCACGTCGAGTTGAACTCCACGCGGTTCCCCCGGGATACCATAGTGATAAATTGTCATTATTCAAAATAGGCTAACCGACCTGACTTCATGGTCATTTTATCATCCTCCACTGTTGCCCCGCCAGCATAAACCGCATGCGGTTGCTCCATTCCATTATCATCAAAAATAAAATTGGTTAAATCCATAAAATTTGCATATATCACTTGTAATAGTTTGGGGGGGAAAGGGATTGATGTGGACCTGTGTGACCAGGTTTACCTCCGCGCGATTCCCCCTGGAAACCATAGTTATAAATTGTCATTTGCCAAGATGGGCTAACTGATCTCACCTCATGCTCATCCTATCATCCTCCACTGGAGCCCCGCCAGCGTGAACTGCTAAAGTAGAAGGGTGTATCTTTCCATATCATAAAAAAATAGTTTAAAACAGGTTAAATTCATAAAATATGCATATATCAAATGTAATAATTTAACTTGTCCCGTATGCAAATAAGTTATGTGGGCAACATGTGTATTATGGAAATGCATACAGCACCGGAAACGATGTAATTTCATACATTTGGCAGAAAACCTCAATAGTAACCTCACGGCATTTTCTTTAATAGTTAGTAGGTATGATATTAATTGTAGCAACGTGCAAATTTATTGCACGCGCATAGAAATTAACGGGAAACTTAACAATATAAAGCAAGAGAAATAAACAACCCTGGACAATTCACACAGCGTCATCTAGTCGAAAACCAAGAAGAAATAGAAATAATTCAAATAAACTTAATATAAGCACTTTTGAATAGTCATGTTTTTTGATTATACCGCTTTGTACTATGGCGTCTTTGTACTATGTACTGTGGGTCTTACAGTTTGTTTTCTAGAAGAAAAAAAAAATCTGAATTCAGAAGGTTCAGGAGTCTTCTAGTAATCGGAAATATAAGTAAATCGGGAACATACATAAACAATTACCGACGAATTCAGAACCTTCTCCTTTTTCTTAAAGTGGTTGAAAATATGTATGGTGCACCCGCCTGCGCTAACAGTATAAGCTGGCGGGGCACCAGTGAAGGTCGAAAATGAGGTCTGGTTAATTTGGCCATCGTGATTAAATAACCAGGAATTCACCACGATGGTTTCCAAGGGGAACCACATGGAGGTAGACCTACCAACCCAACTGCAAGCAATTGCAAGCAATGTACCATACATTGCATGCAATTGGGTCAGTATTCCCCGTTACTAACAATCCCTCCCCATGTGATATATGTTATTAAAATAGGGGTCAATGGCAGAAAGGCAAAAAATTTGGGGTTTTAGGTATTTTTAATGCCACATTATAAAATAATAATAAATAAAAGTTTTGTCCAAAACATAAAATCATTTAAGGGGTCGACATCTCTTATCACTTATAGGTATGTAAAATAGCCGATTCTCAGAGCTACTGAATATTTATATAAAGTTTCATAAAAATTGGTCAAGCTGTTTCGGAGGAGTATAGTAACTAACATTGTGATACGAGAATTTTATAGATGTTCATTTTTACACTAATAATTTCTATAACTATATACCTAGGAGAAGTACTCCTAAGTGATGATTATATTATCTGTGTCCTAATAAAGACTGTCCAATAAAGTAGAAACAATTCTCGCGAAACACGAAAATAAAGTTAGTTAAATAAATTCTTACCCGTGACTTTCTGTTTTTATTTATTTATTTGTACACTTTTACATTAATGATTACAAATAAAATATTTTAACAACAATCTCTTCACTAAGCTCAAGGTTGTGTTAGAAATCTTTTAGTGCAGACACTTTAACTTAATACAGCTCTCATCTAGGTACAAAACTAACGAAAATCACATCAGATAATAATCTATTTAAAATAACAATAAAAAAAGGCAATGATATGTTTGGGGTGGTTATGGGTAAGTGAGCATGTGTGTTTTTTTTATAAAAGACTATCTTTATATAATTTATATTCACGTCAAAAATGTATATACATTTAGCTCTTTTGTAGTGAAAAGGTATCAAACAGACTTGTTCCCGTATGGAACCATCACATACCATACAAATACATTAGTCAAATTTGTCGCAAATGAAGTTACATAATTAAAACGAAACTTTTAGTTTTATTTCTACCAACATTTCTGTGGAAGAATACTAAATTATGTATTTGAATTCTGTTCCTTTTGCTACATTCTAGAAAAGCCCCAGTGGAAGATTTCTTTCATTTGGTAAGTTTTGAGGATTAAAACAGTTAGAAACTACAGATAGAATTTAATGTTATTAAATAGTACTGTAGTATTTACAATGATATAACATGTCTTCTGTTACTTTTATCGTTATATTAAGTCCTAACATATGAAATTAGCTTTTTGTAAGGGAGTAACATAAAGTAGATTTTTTTCAAAACATAATCTATTTATTTAATCAAAGTATGTATAGCTAGATTTGTTTGAGCAATCTGGGGAGTACGAAGCGCCATCTGTTATACTTTATAAATATTATTTGACGGCTACAGGCAACTGCAACTATGAATTATGTTGTGCAGTGGGATTAGATGGCACTAAGCAGCATCTTTTTAAATTGGAGGGATTCCCCATTTAGCGATAAAATTGTTTCTGTCAAAGTCAAAGAATTCCTAGAAGATGTAGGTATAGTTTCATTATAGTTATCACAATTTCCTCTATAGATTCATTTCAGCTATTCCCGAATTTCAAGTAATATAAAAATATTGTTTACAGCGTCATTGATTTAATACGAGTTACTGGTTGCAATTTTTTTTATGATTTATTTATTTATTTCTCCTCACAAACATGATGGCAACAATACAAGTAGCATTTTTTATAATAAAATGCTTAAATTTATTATTATAATCGATTTGCTGTTAGGAGCTGGTTGGTGTCTGAAATAGGTATAACCTGTAATATAAATCACCAGGCCCCCAACCGAAATGTGATATAGGTAAGTTAAATAAATTATGATGCTTATGCTACTGCTACTACAACAAAATTTTGAGTATGAAGAATTTGAGAATACAATAAAACAATAAATAATATTTTCCTTAACACTACTTTTATTATATGAGAAGAATAGAAAATACTGAGTGTTATTACGGCCACTATTACACTCTATAGCCTTATAGCCTCTTTCTTTGGCCTCTCATTACAAAATAATGAGGGTAAAATTTAGGTAGAGGGTAAACTCTTTCTAAATAAAATTTGATTTTGATGAATTGCTTTTTTTTTCCTTAAAATTGGCAACACAGCATTTCAGATTATCGGCAATCCCTTGATCTGCCCTATATTCCACTAGGGATGTTGCACTATATAATACAGCAATATCAATTATTTTACTGCGCATAACAATCGATTATATTCCCATTTTTTCTTTTAAGTCGCAACTTAAACTTATAAACGTTTTATATACTACTAGCATGACAATATCCGTTGAAAAATAACCTGTGATAGAAAGTCAATTATTAATTAATTGACTTTTGATACATTACAATCGATTACAAAATAATTTGTTGCACAATCGATTAGAGATGTGCTAACTCGTAATTTAACTCGAGTTACCTGGAATTAACAGTTTTTTTTTTAATTTCGAACAATTCTAATGTTTTTGAGCACATTAGAATTGTTCGAAGGGCACTTCAAAGCCGCGGAGGAACTTATGAAGGCATCCATGGCTGCAGGTCAACTTCTCCTATGTGAATGCTATTTTTTTAATATAATTATGATCGTATTTCGTACATATTTAAAATGAATCCGAGCATTTTTTACTTTTTACACTTCGACTTACGGGCGTTTAGAAAAAAACAAGGAAATTCCTCTTAAGTTAAAAATAAATATTATTATTTATTACCGGCATTTACAAAAATATACTACGGTATGGCTACGGTAACAGTTTACCATCAGATGGGATGAGGCGTATGCTTATTTGTCACCTACGTGGTATAAAAGAAATACTAGGTATTTAAAAATAACAAACAAATGACAACTGACAACCGCTAATTTAATCATTTTAACCGGACGAATATGGAAAAAAATGATAAGAACCTGAAATCAATATTGAGACATTTGACGAGTGAAAATTGTATGATATGAAATGATCGGAAAACTTAACTAAACGGACGACCGAATCATGCTCTCGCTCTTTCACTTGATTCATTAATTTATCAGTTGAATTCTTCCAACAGTTGAGGTGG